AAAAGCTAATAGACTTCACAATTTCAAACAAACACAGGTGTCCATGTGGACACCTGTATCTGAGATAGACTCACCAACTAATTTACTGTCCAAAGCGGGACACTTAGAAGAGAGAAGAGGAGCTCTGTGAGCAAAGGACATGCACAAACCGGCCCGGACCCCGGCACACTGGGAGTCTGGCCGCCGGACCCAGGTGCGTGGCTCGTTCTCTCACTTCCGCTTAGGTCTTTTAAAAATGTCGCCTGTACACCTGAAACTAATGTGAAGTAAGGTTGAATGCAAACTGTCATTGAAGAACGACATTTAAAAAAGGTCACCTTCTCAGCGAGGCTTCTTTGACCCCTGTTTAAAGTGCTCGCTCGTTCCTGCCCCTGCACCCGAATGCCCACGCTGGTTTGGGCTCCTCTGCGGCTCCATCGCCGCCTGGACCTCCCCCCTCTAGAACGCAAACTCCCGGAGGGCAGGGGACTTTTATCTCTTCTGCTCAGTGTCCTATATCCCCAGCGTCTAAATCATCCTCAGCACTGGGAGTGGTCGTAAATATTTGGTGAATGGATGGATTGGGGAGGGGGGAGCAAGAGTTCTATTTCCTGAAGAGCCTTTCTCTTTAGAGTTTCCTTCCTAAACCATTTTTCTCGTTCCCTTCTATGTATCCTGGTAACCCTTAGGTAACCTGAGACCTTAGAAGAGTTTTCTGATGTGCTCTTAACCCTAACGGGAACTGATGATGATTTCCTAAGCCTGGGGCTCTCTAGGACGGAAGCTTATATCCAGTGCCAGCCCAGCTTAGCAGGTTGCAGGAGGCAGGAGAGGAGTTCTTACCCTTAGGAAGTCACTGTGGGGGGCCCTGACCTGCAGTTGTGACATTGCGACAGTCTGTCAGAGTCTTGGGGGCTGTGCCAGCCTCTGGGGCAGGTACCAGCACCAGGACCTGCTTAAAGCTGATGCTGGTGAGCTCCAGTTTGCTCATTTCCCACTTTTCTCCTTTTAAGTCTGCATCCTCAGCCTGTGGGCCCATATCGAGTTGGGTGAGCAGTGTATCAGCGTCCAGCCTTTCCCTCCCCAGGGTCCTAAAGCTTTCTTTTCTGAAACAGCCCCAAAGGAAAGGAGAGATGGGGTTGGGATGGGGGTGGGATCAGACCCCTTATTTCCCGTTGAAAGTGGCACTTGGGATCTCTGAAACAGACCCTGTGGGGGTTAGAGTAGGAGGGAGTCTTAGGAGTCCTGGACCACGGGCAGCGAATTTCAGACTTGGCGGAGATGGCAGTTACTGCTGAGAGGGGAGTGTGGATCTTCGAACCAGGACAGGCTGCAGTAGGGACCGCGGTAGGGACAACAGGGGAACTAAAATGCCCTGTGAGATCTGGAATTTTGCTCTTCTCAAAGCTCCTCACCTGGCCAACTAGCAGGAGCTAAAGTCCTAGCGGATCGGAGATGGGAGAGTGAAACAGCCCTTGGAGACAGGAGAGGACTGGAGCTCCTGTGACTATTGAAACGTTGCAGTACTAGTGGTAAGCAGCGAAGAAGTCTACCCAGATGTAGCAGAAAGACTAAAAAGGGAGGCCTGGAGGAATTTTCTGATTCCTCATTGTTGTATCCGTATCAGTTTGGGGCCAAGGAAGCCTTGGCAAGCAGTGGTACGGTACAGAAAGCCACTTTGTGAAACAAAAGGCAATTCCCACAGGCATACCCTTAATTTGGAATACGAAGTCCTTTGCGATCTGGCGGATATGAATGTCGCCTTCCAGCCTCATTTCCCACGAGACACACCGGTTTGTCCTCTCCTTTCACACCTGCGCGCCTCAGAAACTCCCAACGCACTCAACGTCTAACCTTGCTGGGCTTCACTCGATGTCACCACCTCCCAAGCTTTTTGAGGACTCTCCGTCAAAATTCGTCCCTTTCTTCTTCTCTAAGTTCCTGTTACCCTTTGTTTGTCATTCTGTTGAACAATAGCATAAGGCTTGAAGAGGTATGCGTTTATATCTATCTCCCTATCTCCCCTGGAGGCAGGGACTCTGACTTACTCCTGTGCTGGGGAAGGAAGGGCTGCCGCATCCATCCTTTCGCCCCCGCGCCCGTAGGGCTTGGCACACAGTAGGATCTCAGCCGCCTTGCTGAGTGGGACCGATCCTGGGTTAATCAGAGGAACACATTATCCAGGAGCACACATTACACAGTCTTCTTCCCCTCCCCGCTCTGGGCAGTGACCCGCTTTGTGGCTGGTACACCTTGCTCCTGGCTCAAACATACCTGTATCAAGGGGCCCTGCTATTTGCTTTTCTTAGTCCTGACTCCAGCATTCTCCCTTTGATCTCCACCATCCGCCCCAGCTGGCCCCTACCATTGTCCTGGGCAGGGAGCTGAACAGTCTCTCCTTCCCAGGCTCAGGCCTCGCCCCCTCTCTTCCCCAGCATGTCCTGCAGACGATGATGCCCAGGGGAGCAGCGACAACAGGGAACAGCTAGAATAAGATTAAGGGTCTGACCTTTGGGTCCCTGAGGCTTCCAGGAAGGGCCAGCTGCCCCCTCTTTCTTTTTCACCTGTTTGCTTCTTTCTTGTCACCCAAGAGAGCTTGTTCCTGAGCTGGATGGGAACGCACGCAGACGATCTGCGAGGTGAAGGACCCAGGGCTGCGCTCCTGGGAAAGGCTGTGTTGCCCTTCTGACTAAACTCCTGCCGTTCAGAGAAGTAAATAGGGCAGTCATAATATTTGCGGGCCCTGAAGCCAGACTGTTTGGATTCTAATCCTGTTTCACCACTTACTAGCTGTGACTTCCTCAGGGAAATGGGGTCATACTATCGCCACCATGTTCATTCATTCGCAGACAGTCACTGCCCCCCTCCTGTGGGCCAGATTGTTCAGGGTGCCAAGGAACTACCAGGGAATAAGGCAGAAATAGATCAATAAGTAAATACTCAGAACAGTGTCTAGCACATGGTAAATATGAGCAGATGGACCGATACTCTTTCCCTGGTACTTTTCTGAGAATACACCCTCAGGCAGGAAAGCTTCGGCAGCAGCTGTGCGACCAGCTCTCGCCGAGAAGGGGAAAGACAGAGACAGGGCCCATACGTAGGCCTCAGTTTTGGACTCAGGTCCCGGATGTCACTGGCTTTGGTGGCCTTTCTGTCCTGGCACTTCACTTAGAGACTGCCTATGTGACCCGGCTAAAGATCACCCTGGAAGACCACTGAGTCCGTTCCGTCCTCGGGAAAGGGCAGGAGGCGAGGACCCGGACTGCCTCGGTTCTGCATGGCCCGTGCGCGCGCACAACGCAGTGCCAGCCGAGCTGGGTGTGGGTGACACGAGGGGAGGCCGCGTCTCTTGAGCAAAATGAAGAGACTTGAGATGGAAGGGAGGGGAACAGCTGTCATCCTGTCCACTGCCCGGGCTCCCCATCTGTGGAGAAGAGGGCCTTCTCGGGGAGGAGGTGGCGTGGGACTCGGAGGGCCGAGCCTGCAAGGGAGGTGAGGTCAGGCGGAGGTGTGGGGCCTCATCGTTGACCTTCCCGGTCTCGGTGTCTTCCTCAGGCAATGCTGCCAAAAAGAGCTGTTTCGCTCCTGGTGTGACTCGTGGCCGGAAGTACAGTTTGTGCTCAGGGCTTCTGATTCATTGTCTGTGGTTTCCAGCGGAAGCCCAGGAGTGGTGTGGTCTTTAGGGTGGACTCAGGTTAGAGTAGAAATGGAAGTCGCGTGTCCTGGGATCAACATGTTTTTTTTTTCAGCCACCACCATGCTCAGGGAAAGGTGCACTGTACGATCTTGACTGTGGTTCGGCAGCTGCTTCACCACTTCTGCTGCTGCCCTCGTCCATCCCTCTCCCTCACTGGGTTTTCAGAAATGAATGCCCTCGTAGCCCCGGGGGAAGTGCCCTTGACGAGGGATACGGACCGATGCAGGATTCTTGGGCTGGTTCCCACATGAACTGCTGGTACGGCTTCCTCGGAGACCTGCTGACTTGGCTGGGGCCCTACGATTTGCATGCACAGGGACAGATGAAGTAGTTCTGGGCCCCGTCCAAGATGCGGAAGTGCAGCCAAGTTTGGGAACACAGGATATCGTCCCCTTTCATCTCCTTTTTATTGCCGTGTCTTCGGTCTTCAGCATGATTTCACCTGAGTCCAGCCGATACAGGAAAGTGGAACTAGGCAAAGCGTTTTGCTGTGAATAAAAACCCACCCAGTTCATTCTGTATTGAGGGAAACAGAAATATAATGTGATTACAACAGTGCTTCTCCACTTTTTCTTATTATCATTTCCCAAAGGAACCTTTTAAGACATGTTTTCCTAATCACCTCCCCTCAGGAAATTTTCATATCAAGAATATATCAAAATTCTGGTGTGTGTGTGTGTGTGTGTGTGTGTATGTGTATTTCTGTGCTTTATGCTTTAAAAGAGTAAGAGCTTTTTCACCCATGAAGAACCCATGTTCACTCCCCTGGGGAAGATACTTTCCGTTGTGCGTTCATGGATTACAGTCAAGCACAGGGAGACTGCCGTGGGGACTGCAAGGTGTCAGGCGAGCCCCCAGAGCTCTGTAGGCGTCATTTCTCCCGCCTCCTCTGACTGAACATCACAGCCCCGTGATTTTCTCTTGTCCTCAGTCTGTCATTCCCATATTGCACTCACTCCCCTGTCCTGGACCTCGTCATTCATCATTTTTTTCTCTCCAGTACAGAGTTTTAGGAGTGAATTCAATTAAAATAGTAATCTCTACAGCCCAGGGGTAATGATTTCCTGATATCATCCCTTTAGAAGAAAGAGCCCAGAGACCTGTGGCGTGTTCATGGGAAAACATCATAGACCTAAGGACTGGGGCAAATCAAGATACGCATTTGGAAATTGCCTTTCAGAGGAGAGTTACCAAGAGGTCTGCGTATTGGTCCCGACACGCGTGGGTGTGGGTGCCCTCTATGGGGTCTGACGTCTCTATATAAGTTCATTCGGGGTTGACGCCAGTTCTGCCAGTGGAATATCAAGTCCCCTTTCTCTGGCAGTGCGGTGTAACCAACGGCAGCATCTCCTCTCCCCCGCAGAGACTGCCAGAGGCATGCAGTGTTGGGGACGGAAGACCCTTTGTCACGCATCTACAGAACCTGTACACGGCAGTCACCAGACGAGAGGCCCAAGCGAGGCAGAAGCTCAGAGACGCCGGTGAGGAGCGCCAGGGGACTTGGTCTCCCTGGGGTTCGAGTCAGGGTCTGGCTTTGTGGGAGCTCTAGCTACTCGTGACTCCTTAAGTTTAAATGAATGAAAATTAAGTAGAATGAGAAATTGATTTCCTCACTTGCTCCAACCACACTTCAAGTGCTCCACAGCCGCTGGAGGCTGCAGAGGTGGGCAGAGGAGATACAGGACATTCTCACCATTGCGGGAAGTTCTATTCAACTGACCCAGGCACTTAGGAGGGCCAGGAGGAAGATGGCTGTCCTACCCGAGACATGTCAGGAAATGTGGGGAAGAACAGTTGGCTGTTTTGAGTCAGGGAAGCTCTTTTCCTGCTTGGCCAAAGTGGACCCGGGCAATCTCCATCGTAGAAACAGGGCTTTTCAAAAGTTAGCTGGAAGTTAGATTTGTGGCTACTCCTATCTGTTCATGTGTTAGTGCCTGCCCTGGCCTTTGTGTCAGAATGCTTGGTGAATTCTGGTGTCTTCCTGGTAAGAAGAAGGCATTCACTGCTGTCCTCCCTTGATCTTTCTGATTTCAGGAGATCCTCAGGCCTCGGGTAGTGCCTCCCCCCACGGAACCAATAGCCAACTTCCGAGCCAGCTGGAAGAGTCGGTTTCCTCGGCACCAGCCCACCCAGAGCCCGAGAAAGAGCCCACAGTGAGTTGTGAGCAGCTTCCTGGATAGCGTCCTCAGTGCCGGCGGAGTCCACGCCTATAGCCCCCAGGTCCATGGTCCCTGGAATAGCTACCTGGTTGACGCTGTCTTCATAATATTGGCGGATATTTGTCACCGGGCTTCCACACTGCGGATTTCTAGATGGAGAGTCATAGTTTTTACAGCTCCTCTCTGCAGTTCTTATACCGATTGGTGGACCTCGACTTCGTTTCTACCTTATCCCACTGCCATGGTCTGTGAGGTTGTTCCCGGGGGGGAAGGGATATATTCGCCTGTTGCATAGGGTCTTAAATCACATTCACTGCCTGGCATGGACTCCAACACTGTGCTGGCCACTTCGAGAGGGCCTCACCCAAACCAGGGTCACGGGAAGAAGAAAGTTCCTCTCCTAAATGAAGTGGACATGTTCAAAATCCCCACTAATTTGGGTTTCTTTTTTTCCTAGGGTACTTCGGGCCCTGTGCAGAGACCTCAGCTGTCCAAGGTCAAGAGGAAGAAGCTAAAGGGGCTCTTCAGTTAAACTGCCCACTCTCTCAGCTGCTGAGGGTGGACTTGGAGAGTAGTTCCCTAGGGCCGCCTTGAAAGGAGCTCCTGCGGCAGCAGTGTCTCTGCCACGGTGTCCCAGTCAGAGGCAGGCTTGCCGAAGTCCACCCAGGTCACCGGAGGCCGCCTGAGCTGGTACTGTTCAACAAGCGAATCTTGGTTCCAGCCCCTCGGGCACTGGCCTTCCCTGTCCGAGTGGAAGCCAGTCTAGGAATCCGATACTTGCCTCTCTTTCGGTGAAGGGTCCCTGGACCCAGGACCCTACCGTGGGCTTCAGGTATACAGGACATGTCAGCAAAAAGGCACAACGTGCTTAGGAAGCCTTGCCTATCTTTCTCAGGTGTCCCCCTAGCCAGTCCCAGGTGCTCCTCAGGGACCCGCTCCTCCCTTTAGCATGGAATAAAAACCCTCACGCTCCGCTGCTTACTTGTTCTGTGGAACCCATTGCCCGCTTCACTTCAATGGACCCCATCCCACTATTGTCTCGGGTTCAAGTCCATGCCCGCAGTCCAATCCTTCAGGCTCTTATGCTTCTCTGCCGTGGGTGTGCTCAGCCCCTGCGTGGGGACGTTAATCTTGAGAACTCTCTCTGTGGTGGGCACCAGGCGGAGCAGGCGGCCTGTGCTCCCCTTTGCCCAACTGATGTGAGGATTTTTTGTGGCGGAGGGTGGGGTCTGATTCCAAGGCGTAGACAACAGGTTAAACCACAACATGGGATCAATATTACAAAGAGCTTTGAATCGTAGGGCTAAGGTAGTTGCCCACTGGAGTGAGAGAAGAGGGAGTTTCACCTTCCCTCCACCTCAAATAACGTAGTAACTAGAAGAACTAGGAAAGATGGGGTGACAGAGAACAGGAAGTGGCCGCAGGAGCTCTCTGGGACAATGTAACTGACCTATAGAATGAATAGTGTGTCACGAGAAAAAGAATGTAAAGGTTCTACGAGATAGGCAGAATCTTAGACGTTCAGGGAGTCAGCTCTTTGGGCAGATCTGGCAAGATTGAGCAGACCAGGATTCGCCAAGTCGCCTGACCTTCTCTGCTAGATGTTAACTGGGAGCTGTTAGGTAGAGGGAGGGGTCAGGGGCAGGGCGCACAGAGGTCTTCTCCGGTCTATTTACATAGGATGACCAAATGCCTCCTCACCCTCATATCCTCCCCAGCTGGAACCGGAATTTCCGTCCGCATGCCAAATCATAGGAGAACGGACAGGCCAAGCAATCATGAAATAATGATGATTATAAAGAGAGCAACAAGAATAATGCTTATTGAGCTGTTAATGTAACCAGGTTAATAAGCGCCTGGCGTTGAATCCTCACAGCATCATGTGAGGGAGGTACTGTTGACCCACTGGGGAACGGAGTCCTGGAGAGATGAAGTGGCTACCAAAGGTCACACAGCTAGTGAGCGCAGCCGGCACTTGAACCCAGAGAGCTGAGTTCGTCATTCTGCACATTATACTGAGAACATTTTCCAGGATGGTTGGCAGGTCCTCCTTTCCCGTCTTTTGCTGCAACATCCTTCTCCTGGGTCCCTGCCTACTTTCAATAGGATGTTCTCCTCCTCATTGCTCTTCAAGGCAGGACACTTTAAGGACTCCAGGGCTTACCCCCTTGTCTTTACCCGCAGGCAGACTCAGAGAGCTCCACTGGGGCTCACCCCAGGTGCTGCTGATAGCGGGCTTTCCCGCCAGTCCCCAGAGTCCCAGGGTGCATGCACCCCACAGCCATGACTGTCATTGGAGTGAACTGGGACCCAGGAAAGACAAGCTACAGGTGGCTTGTTTTGTTGTTTAGTTTCTTTTTTGGCGTAACTTAGATAGCCAGATTTCAGGACCTGCAAGATATGAGACCCCACGGAAAACGGAATGACCTCCCCAGCAAGTGGGGAGAAAATATGGGTTCTTTACCTGGGTAATCCCTCTACCTTAAGAGCATGGTCTCCAGAGCAGGCATTTGTAATCACAGGAGAACCAGAGGGTTGTGAATCCCACCAAATTATGAGTGAAATCATGAGGGCATACTTTTTTCATGTTCCCAAAAGAATGTGTACTTTTTTAAAAGGTTAAATAAGAATATGCCTAATGACCGCTCCGTCCACTGCCCACTCTGTCCCCAAAGGTCGCTGTCTCCACGGGGATACTGCCCAAACACACCCTTCTGTAAACATTGCTTCCAGAGGCCCTGCCTGGGGCCTTCATGCCCTGAAGCTCTTACCCCCCAAACCTAGGGGTGGTGGTTGCGAATCTTGCTTCCTGGGGCAACTCCAGGGAAATCCCTGCCTTGACAAATGGGCCTACCCAGGCTGGACTCCAGCCCTGCCCCCTGGCTCGGGCCCCTCCCCGAGGCCCCCAGCCTGACCCAACCCCCACTCCGCATGCACATAAAAGGGTCGAATTCTCGTGGCTGCTCCATAAATTTTATTCCGTAAATATTAGTTTTCCCTGTGTTTAATAAAGCAGTGGCCCACCTCCCCGCCTACCCGCCCGCTCCCCGGGGCCGGGGTTGGGGCCAGGGCTGGCTGGTGGGAGAAGGGACTCTTTCAATTGCTTTGGAGTATTTTTAGAAAAAAAAATAATATAAGGTGGTTTACACGAGCAAGCCAGCAAACCAGGAGCAGGACTAGAGACCTCGAGGAAGTTCCTGCAGGAACTTGACCTAAAAAGTAGAGAAATAGCGCCACCTAGGCTGCAAGGCCTACTTGGCCTGGCTGGCTGGCTCTGGGCTCTCCCCTCCCCCACGGCCAGCTAGGACAGCCAGCTCTGGCTGGAAGGGAAATCTGCATCCCTTAGCACTCCAGCTGGGCAGCACCTCCTCTCCTCTGGCCTCACCGAGGGCTTTCCCAGCAGTCCTTGAGGGCAGAGCTCAGGCTGGGTCCTGGAAAACCCCACTGGGGTCATTCTCTTTTCTCCTGTCACTGTCAGCCAGCCTCCCAGATCAAGGAGTGTCCCCAAAGGAGAGTCAAGTTATTGAGAAGGGAGGAAGGAGCTTCTGGTCTCCGTCCTCACGCTGAATCCTGAGGAGCTCGTCCCGAATTCCGAGGGCGTCAGGTGGCACACAGTGAAGCTGGTGCTCTTCTGCTCTGGATTGGGGAGACTCCGTCCCTGTCAGATCTGGAGCCCTTCTCGCGTCTGATGCGGGTCCCCTGCAGTGGGGACTCAAGTCTGCTGCATACTCAGGCTCCCTGCTCCCTAATTTTACCTTGCGGTACACCCGAACTCCCTTTTGTTGCCCTCCTCTTCATTTAAACTGCCCAATTTCCCAAGCCCTTCCCTCCTTCACGCTGGTCCTCTGGCGATGAGCAGGGGCCCCGTGCGTTATCCTCAGTACGGAGATGGTGGGAGGAGCGGGAATGGACAAGGCGCCTCTTCCCCGGATCCTGGCTTCATCCCATATACTTGGCGTTGCCACCAGGGCACTTTCTTCTCTCCAGCGACGATGTCCCTCACTTTCTCTGTGACAGCACTGGGAAGACTCGCTCCAGGGAGTGTAGAGGAAACCTAACATCCACGTCATAGCCTCTCCTCCCGATGTGGGGAGCTGCCTTTGTCTGTTCTGCTTGCCCCTCACCCTCTGTGCCATGAACGTAATCTGTGTTTAGATACACGTTTTTGTGTGCTTTTTGGTTTTTTTTTCAAGATTTTATTTATTTATTTTTAGAGAGGGAAGGGAGGGAGAAAGAGAGGGAGAGAGGGAGAGAGAGAGAGAGAGAGAGAGAGAGAGAGAGAGAGAGAGAGAGAAACATCAATGTGCGGTTGCTGGGGGCCATGGCCTGCAACCCAGGCGTGTGCCCTGACTGGGAATCGAACCTGCGATGCTTTGGTTCGCAGCCTGTGCTCAATCCACTGAGCTACGCCAGCCAGGGCTTGCTTTTTGTTTTCATTCTTCCATTAGATTATACCACTTGGGACCAGAGTCCGTTTCCAACCCTCACTCAGAAACTATCCCCGTGGAGGTATTACACACCACCAAAGGGTACAACTTACGTTAACTGGGTTTTCATATGATCAGGAGCTTTTCTAAGCTGCTCTGATGTTTTTCTATCTTCCAATTTCCCTGGAGAAGAAACTGTTCAAAAGGCGTGACGTATGGCAAGGAAGCCACCACACTCAGACCTCAAGGCCCGTGTCTCCTCATCCCTGTCATTGACGCCAGCAAACCTGTGGGCTCACAACAGTGACTGTGCCGGGCACTTCGATACAGAGACTGATGCTGGAGGAGAATGGAGCCCACGCTTGGGAGGGAGGGTTTCTCTGAGATGCTCTGACCTCCTGGAAGCTGCTGCCCGGGGTTCCTGTTGAAGGTTCCCATCGCTTGGGTTTTCTTTCCTGTTCTCTTGGACGGGGCCTCTGGAGATGCCACCCAAGTGGGAGGGTAGACCAGGTGCCTGTGCGCAAGGGAGAGGGACCCGAGGGAATCCCCCTCTGCTTGGGAGGAACTACGAGCCCCTCCGTCCTCCATCTTTCATCCCAGACTCTTCAAGAAGTACTTCCTCATCTCCTAAGACTTCGCTTTGGGGCTCTTCCCCTCAATGCTGGGGTCCCACGTCTCCACCCTGGCACATGGGCAGTCGTTAGGTAGCACCGGAGCATTCTAGCACAGGCTCAATTGTTCTTCCTGGCTGTTGAGTCCTCCTTGCGCTCAGTTCCTCTGAGCCCAGGGGCCCAACAGGTGTTGCTCCGCCTTCCACACGCCTGGACCCTTTCACTGAGTGCTCGCCTGTCCTCACCTAACTCTCATGGGCTCCTGAGGATCTGAGCCAGCCTAGGGGAACCCGGAAGAGGCACTGGAAGAACTCCAGGGTGTGGGGAGCACACGGCCATTGACTCACCTGGGAAGACTGTGCCCGGATCACTCGTCCTGCTGGGCCCGGGGCCAGGAGTTAAAGGAGCATGCAGTACCACACTCTTCCTCCCCCCGGTCTGGGGTCAAACACATTAGCAGGGTTAGAATTGGGGACTCGGACTCTGGGGCTGCTTGAAGTCCCTTCTGAAATCTGGGTGTTGTATTTGCTTTTTCATATTGGCAGCTGGAAGGGGAAGCCCATCCCAGCTCGGCATTGTTGTCTAACATGGTTAATCAGATCCTATAATCCTGCTGTGGAAATATTGGGCCTCACTCAAAACAATAGAGACCAAGAATATTGTGGTTAAATTTCAACCAAGTGCCTCCCTGGCTTGTTTGCCTAACCCCTACCCCCCTCTCCCGGGCCAGAGTCCTCCTCGCTTTATGGACCCCTGATAGGATCGACAGCGGTCAGAAATCGGTGACGGGAGAAGGGAGAAGGGAGCAGGGGAAGGGTAACCCTCCCGACTGGCACTCTGTCCTGTCTTTCCCCTCCCACCCTGGGCCTTGAAGGATGAACTGGGGGGGGCGGTGAAAGGGGCTAGAGTTGGTGGGGAAGGCCCTTGGCTCCCGAGTCTGTGTTCTGGGGTCAAGAGCAGTACTTCTGGGAATCTTGGGTGGTAAAGAGATCCCTTATTCAAGACAGAAAGAGCCTGCTGCCAGATCAGAAGGAGAGACTCCCAGTGTGATTGATTATGGCTGCCTGGCCCTTCCAGGGCACAAAGCAATGCCAGTTTTTGTCCTGTGTCACACCTGGGAGACACAGGATGACACCGGTTGGGGAAGGGGATTTGGCAAAAAAAAATTTTCTGTTTGATTAGTAATCTGGCATAACAGCAGTATAAATAGTACTAATACTCTGATGACGTATGAAGGTAACACTGACACCCTCACTGGAGGGGCTTTCTGGTAGGGGCCATGACTGTGGTGTTGCTCCCGGCAGTGAGTCCGAATTCAATGTGGGGGGATAGTCCCCATGATTAGAACAGTGGCACAGAGGGAATAGACATGCTGTACAATGACATTGTGAATCAAAAAAGATGCAGTGTCTGGACGCTGAAGGGGAAAATCAACGCGGTGATACGTTCGGCAAAAGGCCGAGGCCACCCATCCCTCTTGCAGACGGCCGGCCATCCGGCTTGTGAAGTGGCCGCCTTCAGGTTTGTGCCAGGCAGTCATGCATCCCCGGTGCCCGGGGCACAGGCTGCAGCCACACTGTGTCACCAGTCAGTGAGGCGAAGTACAGTGAGGCCCCAGCCCAGCGGCGTGGACGACTGAACGGTCAAAGTATGTGCGCATTTCTGGGATCTGAACAATGAAAGAGCAGGACCGTGCCAAGTGAGACTGCCTTTGCTCCGCCTGTTCACGCAGCGTGGAGACGGAGGAACAATAAAGAGCACTCGGTGTTTCTCACCTAGGGTGCTACGTGATCATCCAGGGCCTGACGTGGTTCCCATGGGTCATTCATCAAAGCCATTTTGAAGCTGGGACAGCTTGGTGGGAGCTGAGCTTTCTGCCGGAAAAGTGTCTGGAATACAGGTCCCGGAACTGAGACTCTAAGGGGTTGTACGTGTGCTTCTGGGTAGGAATCTCAAAACCAAATTAACGGCAGCCATCAAATGGAATCGTAGCAAGTATGGCACTGACATCAGAATGATCTAAAGGTGATGGAAAACATTTCAACAGTTAAGCAACTTGAATAACTAGTGGGAGGATCCCACGAGAACAATGGTCGCCAGTAGATGCTTCGGAGAACGGGCCACATTCCTGGCCGCACGGGTGGATGAAGAGGCTGAGCTGGTTGGTTAAACCTGTGCTGCACGTAGACTGGGACGGCGAATGGGAAAGTTCCACGGCAAAACCCCTGGTCATTCAAAGGAATTCAGAGGAATGGCCGGGTTTGTAGGAAATGCGTTGAGAATGAGATGGAAAAATCCGTTTTCGAGAAGAAACAGTACACGTTCATTTACTCAAATCATTAAACATATAAAATATCTTGCTAGCATCCCACCGATAGGTGTTCTGCTGCATACATCTGCATGCACATGCAGACGTTACGTGTGGCCGCAGAGACAAGGTTCTTGCTTTCAAGAAACCTACAGTCCAGCGATGATATTAAAAAAGATTTTTTTTCTTAAAAATTTTTCAAGTGTGTGAAGCACAAAGTGAGGGCCATGACTCTATATCTCTTTTAAAGTTTAAAGAATCATGTATAAGCCCTGGCTGGCATAGCTCAGTGGATTGAGCGCAGGCTGCGAACCAAAGCATCGCAGGTTCGATTCCCAGTCAGGGCATACGCCTGGGTTGCAGGCCACGGCCCCCAGCAACCACACATTGATGTTTCTCTCTCTCTCTCTCTTTCTCCCTCCCCTCCCTCTCTGAAAATAAATAAATAAAATCTTAAAAAAAAGAATCATGTATAAATGATATTTTGTTATCTGCTTTTCCTCCTGTTTAACTATGTTGTGTCCGTATTTACACGTCAATACATACATTTCTTCAAAGGATGCACTATCTTCACTCTAAGTTTCATAGAGAGTTTGAAAAATACCCTCATCGTCAGAAAGGAGGAAGTCAAGCATGCTCACACTATTCCCCCGCCGCCCCCATAGCTTCATCTCTGACCTCCTTGCCATTTCTCTAATCTGCAAGCACTTCAGGGCCTTTGCTCCGCACAGCTCTCCCTGCTAGAACGTGCTCCCCTAGTTCTCCACTTAGTTGAAGCCCTCAGCTCTTTAGGTTTTTGCTTGAGTTGCCCCGTCTCACTGAGGCCTCCACTGACCACCCTGCGTAGCATAACCGCCTGCCCCCTGACCTTGCACCCTCTCCCCGCAAGCTGGCTGCACGCCCAGTCCTTTCATCCCATTTTATGTTTTGTGCTCGGAGTCCTTATTCCCTTCTGACACATTATATATTTGACTTTTTTTTATATTTGTGTTTAATTGTCCGTCTCCCCAATGCCTCCCGGCTAGAATAAAGCTCCACGACAGCGGGGGCCTCGGGTCTCGCGTTTGCTGTTCTCTCACATCCCAAGCACCTAACACAGTGCCTGGCACTTAGTAGGTGCTCAAAAATAGTTGTTGCCTGAATAAATGAAGAGAGATTATCTCTCACACCCACACATGAATACACACATCTGCTCACACCAGCAATATCTTGAAGGTGGCTTAGAAATGTGTGGATATAAATGAATGTAATCCTTGTCGTCTGCAGCAACCAGGTGTAAGGTGAGAGTGGGGCCTAACTATCGTTTCGTTAGCTGTAACCACAAGAGAATGAGTTTATCATTTTCCTGAAACTAAGAAGAGAAGTTATTAAACAGCAAGTGACTATATACCTTCTCTATATAGCTACAGATCCCCAGCACCCTTAGGGGACTGTCTCTGCCAAGGGAGACTGGTGAGATAGTGCAGGCGACCAGGGCGAACGCAGTCACAGAACACCGACAGACATGTCAGGAGCATGGCTTGAGTGTTAAAAGAGAGGTACTCCTGTCCCCCTTTCCTGAGCCTTCACTGGGCTGGCGTTTTCCATGATTCTCTTTAAGGAACAATTTCTTCCCAAACGGAGACACTGGGGTGGAAATGAAGCCCACTATTTAGTAGGCATGTTATTATCCACCTACAGACATACATTTATACGGATAGCTTCCTGTCTATAAGAGTTTCCCACAATCTTTAGTCTCTGCTATGAGGGGGAAACACACATCCTCTTTGTCACTAATTCTGCTGCCTTTTCCTCCCCTTTCAAAGTCATCAAAGCCAGGTCTTCAATGCTTGGATCTCTCTGAAGTGCCTTGTAATGAGCTTACTGTTTGGGCAAAGGTAACTTGACATTCCCATTTCCAATCAATAGCTAACTTTCAAAGCATTGTTCGTTTGGAGTGGCTCTAATTGGTTGTCCAAACGCATTCCGGACTGATCTGAGGCTTGAAAGGCAGACATGATCCCATTTCTGCATATGGGAGGTTTGGTGGAGTTGCTAACCTCTGTTAAAAATCCACAGCAGAGGCTAGAGTGCCCCCCACTAGTCGGGGAAGTGGTCAGGCAAACAGAGTGTGAGGTCTTAAAAGCCCACGATCAAGATAACAGAGGAGTCCCCTCGATTCAGAGAGAATATGAGTGAGTTGAACAAAGGTCAACAACCCAGTGTGCTTGTCCTCACCGAGAATCACTCACCAAGAGCCTGGGTTATTAAGGAGTCAAAGAAGCTGGATTCCAGCTCCAGCTTCCCCACCTACAAGCTCTGAACGTCAGTTTCTCATTCATGAGGCGAAGATATCGGCCGTCAACTTCGTAAGCTTTTTACAAAGGTTACGCCGACTGATGTTAAGGATCCTCGCCTTCGCCAGATCGTTCAGCTGGGCTCTTCGTTGGTACGAGTGCCGTGATCTTTGCCGGGACCGCTGGCTGCCCTTTTCTGAGGATCTTCATTCTTGTCATCATTCCTGTCCCTCCTTCAACACTGATTTTCTCCAAGACATCTCACTCCGGACTCATTGTTTCTTTTCTTTTTTCTTTTTAATTAAATTTTTTTTCAGTTACAGTGGACATTCAATATTACATTAGTTTTGGGTGTACATGATTGTTTCTTAGCTCCATATTCTTCTAGACCAAGTTCATCTTATCTATTAACTGGTTTCTCATACATTATTCTGTGGTCATTCATGAGTGGTGTTCATGGTTTTGTCACTGCCTGTTATTTTCGTGATGTGTCTTTAGGTTTAAATAGTAAATGCCCAGAGGACAATGACCGTATCTTCTACTTTTCTGTTTGCACTTTCTGTCCTTAGGTACCTACTATACCGGTGTACACAAGGCAGATGCTCCCTAGTAGAAAGAACTAGGGCCTCCTAATCCCCACTGCTGTCTTGGGGCACACATACACGAGCATCCTGACTACCCCCCTACATGGGCAATAGGCACCAGCGAACTGGGACTACTGCTAGTGGGCCCAGCAGAGAAGAGCAATGAATTCTACATAATATCTGTACTTGCAGCTTGTATTTTAACCCTCTCATGAACCCTATGGGGTAGGTGGTATTTTCACTTTATAGATGAGAAAATGCAAATGTAGAGAAGTCCAGGGACTTGCCCAAGGCCATGCAGGTTGCAGGTACCAAAGACAGTGTCCAGGCACAGATCTGCCAAGTCCAGGCCCAGTGCTTCCTCTACTAGCCACAGCCGCCGTGCACGGAGCTCCCGGAGGGTAGGTCACTAACTGCATTCCCGACACTTGTTTGCTTGTGGCTCCGCACCATGGCTTTAGAGCAGGGTTGGTCTGGCCAAGTGGCAGGATGTGGAGAAAAAGACTAGTTCAATATAGAAGTACGCACCTACACAGAGTGTGTGTGTATATATATATACATTCACACGCACACACACACATATATGAACATATCACTATACACTATTTGTACTATAACGTTACATTCAAGATCGGCTGCAAACACTAACACGGTAGTCTACTAAACAGATGTTAAATGATCAGGTTCTGGGTGTGTTTTCCTCCCCCATCCCCTTACCTTCCAGACTATTTTTCCAACTTTCACTCTTGTGAGCAAAAAAAAAAAACAAATTAGTATTCATCAGGTTATGCAGAGAGGTAGCTTTTTCTTGTTCTCTTCAAAATAGAGATGACTGCGGGGTGCTGAGCTCTAAAAGTGAGAGAAGAAAAGTGACGTGACTCACTGGCCCGGGACTCAGATGTGAGGTGCCCGGGTCAGGTTCTGTCACTGCTGCCCAGACCCCAGGCCTTTGGTGGCTCCACTGTGGACACTTCAGTTCTCCAGTTTCCCTGCTGACAAGGCCCTGGCAGTGACCAGAAAAAGAGCCAGCCTTTTTCTGATAGATCTAATGGACTGGCCCAACTCAAAAGCTACCCTTCATCTACTGAGCCGCTAAGAACATAAGCAGCCAAGAAATGATCTCTGTCCTTAGGCCCCAGTCAGATAAAAAGTGCTCCAAGGTCGCTACAGTAGAAATCGGGATGCTCCTAATTTCTCCCCTCCTCTCCCCCTTCCTCCGCTGAAAGAGATTGGACTGATGCTGACCTAAATTTGAGCTTCAGCTCTTGAACCACCACGGTGTCCTGAGAAAAGACTATATATAGCTTTGAAGTAAAAAATCTCCAGGTTCAAATCTTAGCTATGGGATTACAAGCAAGTTACTTTATTTCTAAAGCTCTGGAGCTGTAGATCTGTAAAAGGAGGATAATGACGACTGCATGCAAGGGTGCTTGTGAAGATTTACTAGGTGTTTAAAGCACCTGTCATAGAGAAAATATTTGGTTAATGTCAGCCCCATCTGCTTCTCCCAGTACACGCCCTAGAAGAAAGGCAATGTTAATAAATCATTGTAGAGTAGAACTTCCGAGAGGATCTCAAAGAAGTCGTCTTTCACTTGGAGGAAAGGACATTGAAAGGGAACCTGACCCTTCTTCAAGAACAGGCACGCGAGATAATCAGGACAATGGCCCTGGTCACTAAGGCCAGAAAAAGAGGAAAGGAGATGGATTTTCATCAGAGAGGTAGGAAGATTAAACTTGAGGCAAAACTTGTATAGACAGTGATTAGAAAAGGCTGGGGTAGGTGGCCATGGAACCCTACAGGATTCCCTCCTTTGGAACTCCATGAAAACGGAGCTCCCGTTCGTTCGCCTGGGTTGGGAGAGGTGTTGACCTGACGGCGTGGTCTGCCCCAGAAATCCGAGCGCGGTTGGGGTGGGAGGCAGAGACAGGGCGGGGATAATTCTCGAACCCAGAAAACACAGGTTAACACGCTCTGAAAGCTTTCCAGGAAAAGAAGCAACATCAGCATGATGGGCGACTTGGAGACCTAGGGCCGAATGTTAACGTGAGGATGCGTGAGGAGGGGGGAGGACGTGGGAGCCAAGGGGGAGAAAAGGAAACAATGCCTTTTGTTTCCAAGGGACACGCGTGCCACTCCACTGGTGGCAGGGCCACCCTGAATCCCCCCTGCTGTGGGCCTCAGTTTCTCGTAATACCAAGTGCTTGGGGTAAGCACTCTCCCGAGTCCCTCCCAATTCTGAGCTTCTGTTCACAAAACTGCTCCAGAGAAAATGGGCTGCATCTATGCAAAGCCCCCGCCCACCGCCAGCCCCACGCACAGGCTGTGCTGGGGGAGGGGTGCTGCCCAGTGAGGGCCAACGCGTCAGCCCTGGGGGCAGAGCCGGGGGCTCAAGTCTTCCCTGCTCCTCGGGAGCCAGTTGCTTACCCTCTCTGAAATTCTACTCTCCACTTGTACCGTGGGGATACTGTAGCTCATGTGAGCTTGTGAGTGGGGTTGTTTATTGGGGGCGGTGTTGTGAGTTTAAATTAAATAATGCAAGCAGAATACTTGCTATGGTAATGTAGTTTCCATGGTCTAGGCACATAAGTAGCAATAAAACTGTATCTATTGTATTAATATTCTTGTAATGAGAATGTTTAAACCTTCTAATTTCTCAACCTTTATTTCTATTGCTAATGACTTTGTAGAATACATTTCAACCAAGTCAAATGTTCAGTTTGGGTTTTTTTGTTTGTTTGTTTGTTTTTAACACACCTGTGTATTAACATACGTACACAACCCACGTTCCCTCCTCCGGCTGCCTCTCCATAGCCTATGTCCTTGCTAATGTGTAAAGCAGATCTAAAAGAGCAATTATTTAGCAACTCCTGGTTGCCACTGGCTTTGCATCTTTTTTTTTTTTCTTTCATTTTTAGCAAGCCCCGCCACCGAGATCTGGGTTGCCCCTCTTGAAGGTGGCGGCCGCGCAGCCCCGCATCCTGTTGACGTCTCTGTTCTGGCGGCACTCCTCTGCACCTTGGCCTGTCCCTTTGCAATTCCATCTGGCCCCTTTTAACAGCGTTTCCAGGCCCCCAGACCCTGCTGACTCTCCCAAGGACGGACGCCCCACTCCCAGCTTCACGCCCGCGGGCCGTGGGATGTGCGCCGAGTTGATACAGAACTCGGCTCCGCCGAGCCGAGAGGGAGCGTCTCCCGGGCCCGGGGTGGGGCGCCAGGTTACCAGTGGCCTCCTGCCTTTTGGGCTTGCTTCCCCGCAGGGGACACCGTAGGCGGCTGTGCGGTCCGGCCACAGCCCCCCGCCCCTCGCGTCCGGCCGCGCCGCGGGTTGCGGTCGCCGTGGGGGTGGCAGCTCCTGTCCGGGAGGTTTGCGCCTGGCGGGGCACCCCGGAGCCGCGGGGAGCCCAGAGGCGAGGCCAGGGCGGGTGGGGCGCGTCGGGGCGGGGAGGGCAAACTCAGGCAGCGCAGGGGGCGCCGAGGGCAGCGGGCGGGCGGGCGGGCGGACTCGCGGCGGAGGAGCGAGCGGGACGAGGGCTGGCTAGAGCCGGGGGCCGCCCGCCCGAGGGGGAGGAGGCTGTGCTGCCCTTGCCGCAGGTTCGCTGTCGAGCACACAAGGAGGCAGGGACATGGGCAGGGTGCGGTCTGCGCGGGGCCCGAGCCCGGATCTCTTCCATTTCCCCTCTCACTCGGCCCCGGGCTGCGCCGCAGACGGCAGCAGCTCCCGCTCCGCCCGAGCCGCCTGACCGCCGGGCCGGGGTGCTAACCGCGGGGCCCGCCAACCCGCCGGCCGGGCCAGCCCAGCCCAGCCCGGCGGCCCGCAGCCCCGCCGTCCGCCGCCCCCCGCCGCCGCCGCGTTGCCAAAACAAACGGGCCGGCCTATTTATTGGCGGCGGGCGAGCCGGGCAGCTCAGAGTCGAGGCGCCGAGGGGGACAGCTCGCCGCCACCAGCCAGGGCCCCGGGCCCCCGCCCCGCACCTGAGTCCTGCCCGCCCTGCGCCACGCCGCGCAGCCCATGGCGCCCCCACCCGGAGCCCCCCGGAGCCACCCCGACGCCTGAGCCCCCGCAGGGCCCGGGTCGACTCGCCCACCCCTCAGCCCACCAGGCGCCCTCGCCCGCCGCGCTCCCGGGCTCCCGGCCATGTCTCCCGCCCGGCTCCGGCCCCGACTGCGGGTCTGCCTGCTCCTGCTGCTGCTGCTGGTGCCCGCGGCGCGGGGCTGCGGGCCGGGCCGGGTGGTGGGCAGCCGGCGGCGGCCGCCGCGCAAGCTCGTGCCACTCGCCTATAAGCAGTTCAGCCCCAACGTGCCCGAGAAGACCCTGGGCGCCAGCGGGCGCTATGAAGGCAAGATCGCGCGCAGCTCGGAGCGCTTCAAGGAGCTCACCCCCAATTACAATCCCGACATCATCTTCAAGGACGAGGAGAACACGGGCGCCGACCGCCTCATGACCCAGGTGAGCGCGACCCGCCCTCCCAGCTCCCAGGGCGCCGCCGCCGAAGCACCGCCACCTGCCCGGCCCTACCCGCCCCTCTGGCACCTTTTCTCGACTGGCTGGCACGCCCTCTGGCACCTGCCCCTCTCGCCAAGCCCAACCGCCTCATGCCCAAGATGGGGCAGCCAGGGGTCCCAGCGGGAGTGTCGGCATCCCCGAGCTCGCCGGAGGCTGCGAGAAGAGCCCCCTGCTGCTGAGCGCCACGGCCCAGCCAGCTGGCCGAGGCCCCACGGCCCGGGAGCGCTGGCAGCTCCGGTCAGACACGGCACCCGGAGGCACCTCGACCCGGCTGCCTCCCGTGTGCCTCTGGGACCCACACGGTCCTTCCAGGCCTGACCCACCGCAGGGCTGGGTCTCTTTCAGTTAGAAGACACTCGGCACCCCGAGACGAAGAAGCTCCGGGCACAGGGGCCCCGCGGCCTTTCCTCCACGCGCGCTCTTGGTTTGATGCGCTGCCTCCTCCTGGAGCAGCGTCCGGGTAGGATGTGGGGTTAAGGAACAGCGAGGAAGATGGAGGTGGGAGAGAACTTGCCAGGAGAGCGCACGTGTCTGCCTAGTGAACCGAGCGGCACAGCTGCGGTCGAAGGGTAGAGGGCAGGGGCCTTCGGACTCCGGGATCGAACTTGGGGGATCCCTGGGCTTGGTGGCAGTAACGGGTTGGATTGGAAGGGAGGGACTCGGGTGCCGGTACTGAAGAGGCAGGGAGCGGAGCTGAAGCCAGTCTCTGCGTGCTCGGATCCGCGCTGGGGTTTGGGGGGTGGGGAGTGAGGGGCGGGGGTCTGGTGAGGAGGCGCAAACTTTCTTCCCTGCAACGGGGTCCGCAAGGGAAGAGACCTACGTTCCCTTCCTCAGCGGCCTCCCGGGGCTTCCCCCACAGCCGGGCAGCCCACGTCCTGTGCTTTAGGAAAAGCAGCTAGACCACGGCCCTCAGCATGCGCCCTGGCGCCGGGGCTGGACGGCCAGAGTCGGGGCGAAGGTTGGCTGGTGGCCGGGCCGGGCTGGGCGCAGAGGAATGCAGATAAGGATCCGGGCCACGGGCTGGGCAATCATTGACAGCGCGCGCCCGGGCTCTGGACCCGAGGAGGGGGTGGCGGGGAGAAAGGGGCGGGGAGCAGGGGCGCGCCAGTGAGCATAGGTGGGGAGCTAGGATCCCGGAGGCGAGAGCACGCGGAGCTCCTTCCTGAGGCAGTGAGCGTCCCAGCTGGTCCGCTGGTCCGGTGGACGGCCGGGCTTTGGGTCCTAACCGCTGTTGGCTCCTGGGAGACCGAGTCCAAGGGTCTGTGGACCTGGGCTCTGCGGGTGGGGGTAGGCTGAGACACGGGCTGCCGAAGCCTGGCAGCACCTCGAACTTAAGAGCCGAGGACCGTGGAAGGGCCCCCTCTCCCGTCGGCCCCTCCCCAGCCAAGTGCCGGGTCCTTTGGGCTGCAGGCTCGCGGGGAGTCAACACAGAGGGGTGATCTCTGCCGTCCTTACCGGGGGCGCGGTTCTGCTCCCATCCCAAGTGAGGCGGAGGGTGGAGCCGGCTCCCTGAAATTAGAGGCTGGGTTTCTCAGGTCTCTTCCCAGACGCGGGCAGCGCAGAGGCTCTGAGGGGTCTGGGCTCAGGGGACATTGCATGTTTTATTTATAAGCCCCCGGGAGTCCCTCGTAGCGGGAGACGCTCGGCGTCGCCCTCCATCGGGCCAAATCGGGCACTAGCCTTTCCACCAACTTCTGGCTCTAGGGCTGTGGTATTTCGGGCACGGGTGCGGGCAGGTTTTGGACATAAGCGGGTCCCAGAAGGCATGCTTTTTGGCGCCCGAGGGATCCAGGTGGTACCGAGATTCCCTCCAACACACCCCCATGCTGCGGGGACTCCGCACCTGCCGTGCCTCCAGGGCTGGTGTCCCCGGGCCTCAGCCCTGAGGCTACGGTGACACCTACTGGGCGTCTCCGGCCTTGCACGCCTCGCAGGCCAGCCCCAGGCGGTCGGCCCGGCTCGCATCCCCTCACAGGTAGCAGGCCGTCCCTGGTCTCCGGTGCCTCGCTGAGACGGAGGGACTGGGCGCTGGGAAGGTGTACTCGGGTCTGTGGAGGAATCGGTACGCCGAGCGGGGCAGAAAGAGTTCAGAAGGGAGGGGCTACTTCTCAGATAAAGGAGCCCCAAGGGTGCGCAGCTGGCCGCGACCTCCAGATCGGAGGCGTCGCAGGGCCCTGGGGCAGCCAGAAGTTGCAGCGGCAGGAAGCGAGTCAGGGCTCTGCGTTCCTACGAGAGAGCCGGAGCGCGCACCCTGCCCGCTTTCCCAGCCCGGGCGGGCGCTCTGCGAGAGCGAGGCAGAGCCTCCACCCGCACGCCGACCAGCGCCTCCCCCAACCCGGTGCTTTCCTCTCGCAGCGCTGCAAGGACCGCCTGAACTCCCTGGCCATCTCGGTGATGAACCAGTGGCCCGGCGTGAAGCTGCGGGTGACCGAGGGCTGGGACGAGGACGGCCACCACTCGGAGGAGTCGCTGCACTACGAGGGCCGCGCAGTGGACATCACCACGTCGGACCGCGACCGCAATAAGTACGGACTGCTGGCGCGCTTGGCTGTGGAGGCCGGCTTCGACTGGGTGTATTACGAGTCCAAGGCGCACGTGCATTGCTCCGTCAAGTCCGGTGAGCCGCTGCCGGGGGACTGGGCCCGGGGCCGGGGCCGCAGGGCATGGGCAGGCGGCGCAGGGCCGGCTGGCGCCGCCGAGAAAGTGAAGAGACCCGCCAGGGGTTGGAGGCGGGAACCCCGGGAAAGAGGACGTCGGCGGCGCTCCCCACTTCTGCTTGTGACCGCCTGCTCCTCCCGGGCCCGGTAGTGTCAATGGCGAGAGCCTAGGGAGACAGGGCCCGTTCCCGGCGCTACTGGGGGCCAACCTCGAGGTCCACAGCACAGAGCCCACTGCAGGAGGTTCAAGACAGAGCAAGCTGAACCGATGTGGAAGCCAGGCTGTGACAGAGACAGCAGTCCCCACCCAGCATGGTGCAGAAGGGAGGAGGGTGGGTGGTCAGGGGCCAGGGAGGGCCCAGAGGTTCAGAGCCCACAACCAGGCCTGCTGGCCAGGCCACTTAGGACACTGTGTCTGGTCCTCCCAGGGGGGTGCAGGCGTCCCCAACCTCTCCCTCAGGGCCCTGAAGCTGGGCCTTTTGGGGCAGAGCCAGCCACCAGGGCCAGAATAAACAGAATGGACTCAATAAAGTGGATTTTCCCAGATTTGCCGCCTTGTTGATCGGAATGGGCAGGCATTGGGGCCCCGCCCCTCACAGATCTTGTCAGTGTCCCTGTTCCCCACACCGAACCCGGTCACGCGTGCTTCGGACGGTTCCCGTGTGACTGCCGGCCGCCCCCCCCCCCCGCCCCTGGGCTGTGGGCGCAGCCCTCCACGCTGGCACAGGCAGTAGCCGTACTGCAGACCCTGCACACAGAAACCAGGCCCTGCTTTTTGACTATTCCCAATTCCCGCCCCCCACAGTGCTGGCCCCACCCCTGCCCGCCCCCTCAGCACTTTCCTGCCAACAGTGTCCACTTCAAGTCACACGGGCCCCTCACCTGCAACACTGGCGGGTGCCAGCTCCCAGGGTGGCCACTTCCATTCACTGTCCCTAGCCCCCAAACACTGTTCTCCATCCCACCCGCTGATGCCACCGTGTCCTCTTCCTGCACAAGGACTGACCCAGCACACGAACTGAAGACAATGATTTCACCCTGGCCACTGAGTGGGGGCTTCCCCAGTGCCTGTATTCACCCCTTGGCTGGTCCTCCTCTCACTTCTGTATAGACTCCAGGGGCCAGCTCTGGCACGAAACTCGGGGTGTCAGTCTCAGAGAGCAATTCTGGGGGAGTGTCTGGCTAAGGGGTGAGAAATAATGGCACATTCAGACCCCGGAGGAGAGGCTGCAGCTCTCTGGGTGTCCAGTCACAGCAGATCACTGCCTGGCTCAGCTGACCTCTGACCTCTGACCTCTCTGGCCGCTCCACAACACTGTCAGGATTGAGAGCAAATGGGTGGCTCCATCTGGACTTCCAATGGCCGTTTTCTTCTCGCTCAGTGGAGCCACAGGGTGCTCCTCTCACTGGCCAAGGCTTAGACTGGGGAGGAGGGCAGGGATCACACTGTGGGTTGGACTGCGTTCAAGTCTGCAAGGAAAGTGGGGAGAGGGGCCAAGACATGGTGATGGGGGCTCCTGGGGAGCAAGGGGAGGTCTGGCTGGGCTCAGGAGGGGTGCTGTCACTGGGAACCCGAGCGTCACAGCAGTAACACCTTCATGTCCCTTCTTCCCACAGAACACTCAGCGGCAGCCAAGACAGGCGGCTGCTTCCCTGCTGGAGCCCAGGTGCGCCTGGAGAGTGGGGCGCGCGTGGCTTTGTCAGCCGTGAGGCCGGGCGACCGGGTGCTGGCCATGGGGGAGGATGGGAACCCCACCTTCAGCGAAGTGCTCATTTTCCTGGATCGGGAGCCAGATAGGCTGAGGGTCTTCCAGGTCATCGAGACCCAGGACCCCCCAAGACGCCTGGCACTCACACCCGCCCACTTGCTCTTCACTGCCAACAATCACACAGAACCAGCAGCCCACTTCCGGGCCACGTTTGCCAGCCAAGTGCAGCCTGGCCAGTACGTGCTGGTGGCTGGGGCGCCAGGCCTGCAGCCTGCCCGAGTAGCAGCTGTCTCCACACACATCGCCCTTGGGGCCTATGCCCCACTGACGAGGCACGGGACGCTGGTGGTAGAGGACGTGGTGGCCTCCTGCTTCGCAGCCGTGGCTGACCACCACCTGGCGCACTTGGCCTTCTGGCCCCTGAGACTGTTTCACAGCTTGACATGGGGCAGCTGGACCCCGGGGGAGGGTGTGCACTGGTACCCCCAGCTCCTGTACCGCCTGGGGCGGCTCTTGTTGGAAGAGAGCAGCTTCCACTCGCTGGGCATGGCCGGGCCAGGCAGCTGAGAAGACCCCTCCACTGTCCTCCCGGAGCTGCCCAACTGGATCCAAAGGCCTCCCCACCAGGAGGGTCCTGAGCCTGGGGCCCTGGATCCCACCATCTCCTCCACCACAGAGATGCACCATTGAGACTTGACTGGATGATGCCAGCGTGTCCCACGCCCCCACCCCCACCATCCTGATGTGGTGACAGAGATGGAGGCTGAGCTGGCAAGGGGAATGCTCTGTCCTCCTCACCTATAGACCTCCAGGCTGGCACGATGGGTCCCAACCCGACCGGCTCTCACTACGGTTTTTCATACCTGCCTCCCCCAACGGGGAGAACCCATTCCATCTGTCTTAGGGCCCCCATCGGGGGGCTCGCACCTCAGTTGATGCTGCTAGATTCCCTGGGAGCCAGCAGGGAGCTGGCTGGACTCAGCGCTGCCCGGAACTGAGAAGGCCACAGAGTGGGGCAGCCCTCCTGGCCATCCTGAGACACGTCCTTCCTCCCTGGCCACACTCCTCGGGGCACATCCAGAGACTGT